TATTTTTCCGAAATTAAAAATTTAAAATTAAAATGAATTAAGTATTCAGTTATTGTTACGGCAATAAACAATAAAATTTTTAAAACTACCAAAAGCTACCATCGGCAACCTTGCAATATGTCAACTGCGGCGAACGTACGAATCATCCCCGTGAAGCAAGAAGGAGAGAAGCGAGAAGACCGCTGCGAAAAACACACAAAAACGTTTATGTTTATGTTCTTACTTTTTTCTTTTGATTTTGTCCACTATCCTTAAATAAATAAAGTGCTTTTGCATAAAAATCGAGTTTATTAAACATATTTTTGGTCCATACGATTCGGATAGTGCCGGAAAAAAGTGCAATAGAGTGTAAATAAAAATCGATACGAGCGATTGATAAAAAGCAGCATTGGTGTCCGCTATTGATTAAAGTTGAGTCTTCCCAATTTTTGCCTTTTGTTTTACGATTACCCATAGCTATCCATTATTGTCCTATTAAGTGTTTACTTTGCTTGAACTAGTACCTATACAATGGAAATTGCTGAGCTAGAGAAATTAAAAAGGGAAAGAGGGCTTATGAAGGGTTCTTTAACCAGACAATTAAATTATTTCGACGGCCTTGCTGCCAAGCCATCTGACGACATAGTTGCCAAGGAGTTGGAAGCAAGGCTCGTTAAAATCGAACCGCTTTTAGAAAGTTTCATTTTAAAACAAAATGAAATAGAGCTGTGTAATTAAGATGCAATTGCCTTAAATGAGCAGTTTGAAGAGAGGGATAAATTCGAGAATTTATATTTTGCTTTGGTAGGTAAAATTCGATCGAAAATTACAAGTTTTTACAATTCTTTGAATGCGCAAAGTGATTGCAGTGTAAATTCGGGAGCGTCTTCATCTGCGCATGATTTGCAACCTAGCTCACAAATACGTTCAAAGGGAGTTGAGTTAGCAGCCTTGAAGTTGCCAAGTTTTAACGGACAATTAGATTTATGGCTCGAGTTTAGAGATGGGTTCAAGGCGCTTATTCATGATAATGCGACGTTGTCAGATGTACAGCGATTCTATTATTTGCGTTTATATTTAGGTAAAGATGCGCTGTCTCTTATTGAGTCAATACAAGTGACGGAGGGTAACTATAAAATTGCTTGGGACTTACTTCACGATCGATTTGAACAAAAAGCGCTTCTAATTAACAATCATGTACGTGCTTTGTTCGAATATCCAGCGATAGATTCGGAGCATCATACCGGTTTGAGAAACTTCTTTGATACTATCACTTTGAGAGCACTGAAAGTGTTGGGTGAAAATACTGATAATTGGGACAGATTATTACCGGTGTGAAGTTAGCAGCCTTTTTGCAGCAGCCAAAAATGTGAAGTTAGCAGCCATTTGTAGCAGCCAAAATTGTGAAGTTAGCAGCCATTTTTTGGCAGCTCTTTTTTTTTTTAAAGTGGTTGATTTACAAATTTTGTGTACATTATTATTATATACCCTCGTGCAAAGTACAACAGAATAACAAAAAAAAAAACTACCCCTAATAAAACATCAAGTAGAACAATAATATCTACTAAACAACTTTTTTAAAATAAAATGTAACACCATGAAATTAAGAATAGTCTTTAACATAGCCCTCAAGTACGTCTAGTTTGGAGAACAACCCCTTATTGCCGTCAGGCTGGGATCAACCCTTATTATTAAAATAATTGGAAAAGCACATTTCGGAAAAATATAACACCATCAAACCCAGTGGGACGATCATCAGAACCATTTCTAACATTTCCACCAAAGGACAACCCCTTACCTGCCGTCGGAGTGTGTCAAAAACTACCCTAAGTACGAAAAAAATAGAAAAAAATTGGAAAAACACATTTCGGAAAACTGTAACGCTCTGAAACTTGATTGAAACGATAACTAGAACCATTTCAAACATTCCCTCCAAAGGAAATCCCCTTACCTGCCGTCGGAGTGTGTTAAAAACTACCCTTAGTACGAAAATGATAGAAAAAAATTGGAAAAACACATTTCGGGAAACTGTAACGCTCTGAAACTTGAATGTTACGATAACTAGAACCATTTCAAACATTCCCTCCAAAGGAAATCCCCTTACCTGCCGTCGGAGTGTGTTAAAAACTACCCTTATTGCGAAAATGATAGAAAAAAATTGGAAAAACACATTTCGGAAAACTGTAACGCTCTGAAACTTGATTGAGACGATAACTAGAACCATTTCAAACATTCCCTCCAAAGGAAATCCCCTTACCTGCCGTCGGAGTGTGTTAAAAACTACCCTTATTGCGAAAATGATAGAAAAAAATTGGAAAAACACATTTCGGAAAACTGTAACGCTCTGAAACTTGATTGAGACGATAACTAGAACCATTTCAAACATTCCCTCCAAAGGAAATCCCCTTACCTGCCGTCGGAGTGTGTTAAAAACTACCCTTAGTGCGAAAATGATAGAAAAAAATTGGAAAAACACATTTCGGAAAACTGTAACGCTCTGAAACTTGATTGAGACGATAACTAGAACCATTTCAAACATTCCCTCCAAAGGAAATCCCCTTACCTGCCGTCGGAGTGTGTTAAAAACTACCCTTAGTGCGAAAATGATGAATCCATATTAAACATTAAACAATAAACCTATTGAGTGAAAAAAAATGTCGTCAAAAAGTGGTAAAATATTTGATCTTCTAGCTACTTTAATAGCAGACTTTTGTCCTGATTTCAATTTTGAATCCAACTTAGAAGATGAAGTAATAAACAATATTTGTCAAAAGTTAAAAAACACAAAATATGGTTACAAATCTATCATTAAAAAAACAATTTTCAAAAATCGCCAATTTAAAACATATTTTTTGACCAAATACCCGGGCAAATACCCAACATTAATTACCACCAACCAAATGCCAAAATTCACAGAAAGATTTTTAACCAACAAAGTTTAAGGGCCGGTATTATAAAGCCCGGTTGACCGGAGGTTGAGTTTCAACCAGCGGTTGAACTGATATTTCTGTATTATAAACGATAACCGGGAGTTGAACGGACGGTTGACTGTCGGTTGGCCCAACCGAAAGCAAAGTTCAGTTTGAACCGTCAACCGACAGTTGAAATACGCGTTCTAACCTCACAAATTTGTTTTGAAATTTTAAAATTGTTTGGCTGTTTGTTGTTTGGCTAATGTTTTGAGAGTTCGTGAAAAACTTGTCAATTAAAATAAAATTTAAATTATTTATACTATCAAACAATGTCGTCATCATCTTCTCCCGAAGTTTTACGGAATCGGCTACTTTGGGAAGATAGTAGTGATGATGATTCTTCCGATAATGAAAATCAAAGGGTCAGGAGAAGAGCCCCTCGAAACTTCCGGCTACGACCCGATCATTTCACTCGTTGGAGTGATGAGGAATTCCGGATGCGATTTCGCCTTAGCAAAGAAGCAGTTATTGTCCTGGAGCAAAGGTTGCATGATGATATCGCTCCAATAAGTTCAAGGTAGGTTGTTATTATATTCAGATGTTAACATACAGTGCTTGGCACATGAGTTGATATACGTTAATCTGAGATAGGTGGGGCCGTCTGCTATGCGGTCCTTCCAGATATTTTGACCAGGGCCCTTTTTTTTTAGGATATTTCAAAAAAAAAAAAACCAAAATTTTCAATATCTAGATTTCAAACTGAAATAACTTTTTGAAAAATGACAAAAATGCACTTACCTCAAAAGTAGAATTTCGTAAAAATGCCCACCTTAATAAAGTGGACAAATAACTTGCTGTTTCGAAGCAAATTGTGGTTATTGCTTATCGTTCGAAAGGGTATGAATTTAAGATGCTTTTGACTGATTAGAAATACTCGATCATTTCTCTTTTTTTTTATGCAATGCATAGTTGGCTCTTCAGGATTATTTTTCACCTTTTTTTTGTGGTTTGAGGGCCCCTATTTTTCTTTGTAGCTCTAATGGGCCCTAATTATTAAATTTCTTTGATTCTAAAATTCGTCTAGATTGAAATAAAATAAAAATATTGTCAGTTCCATATTTTTCAAAAAGTTATTTCATTTTGAAATCTGCAGATGGAAAATGTTTGTAAAAATAGTAAAAAAATTTTAAAAAAAATTCTTAGGGCCCAGGTCAACATATTATCTGTGTGGACCGTATAGCAGACAGTCCCACCTGTCTTAGATTCACGTATGCCTACTCAGATCACCCTGTATATATTTTAATAAGTTTTTCTCTCGGTTTTTTTCTAGAAATCACGCTGTAACGTCAATGCAACAGGTCCTTCTTTTCCTTCGTTTCTGTGCTACAGGTTGTATGTTGCAAACCATCGGAGATTTTTCTGGTATTCACAAATCTACAGCCAGCCAAATTGTGAAGAAAATTTCCAACAAAATTGCTTCATTAGCACCAGAATATATACATATGCCACGGACACACGAAGATATTGAAACAAGTAAAAGAAACTTTTACTTAATTGCAAAATTTCCTCGAGTTATAGGGGCCATCGATTGTACTCATGTGAGGATAATTTCGCCAGGTACTTAATTGTTTTTTTTTTGTTATTCACTATTTAAGCAAACAAACATTTTACTTTTTGTAGGTGGAGCCCATGCTGAGAATTTTAGAAACAGAAAAGGGTATTTTTCTTTAAATGTACAAGTGGTAGGTGATTCAAAACTTTTTATCAAAGATATAGTTGCTCGATGGCCGGGATCGACACATGATCAGACAATATTCAATAATAGCCTCATAAAGGCTCGCTTCGAAAACAACGTATTTGGCAATTCAATAATGCTTGGTGATTCGGGATACGCTTTAAAAAAATATTTAATTACACCAATGCTGAATCCTACAATCAATGTTGAGCAAGTTTTTAATGAGTCCCAAATTAGAACTCGGAATCCAATTGAAAGACTTTTTGGTGTTTTAAAAAGACGATTTCCCATATTGTCTTTAGGAATAAGGCTTTCTCTTGATAATGCGAAACAAGTGATCATAGCTTGCGCAGTTCTTCATAACATGGCATTAGGTTTAAATGAACCGGATCCCATCATTGATCCTTTTGTAAATGTAGATCACGACCTAAATGATGAAAACGTTGCAGGAGCTGATGGTCATGGAGAAAATAATAATTTTAGACAAGAATTTTTGTTATATTTTATGAATTTGTTAGAAGAAAATATGTAATAAGTATTAGACAATAATTTATATAATGATATTATTTATATTAGGCATTTAATTAGGTATTCAATTGTTTTTTTAGCAATAAAATTTCCATTTCTAACTTCTGATTTTGTAGTTTCAAGTTTTTTACTTTCAATAAATGCAATTCTTCTTCTCGCTGAGATTTTTCTTGGTGATAGGTGATATTTCTTGCACTTTCCTCTTCCAATAATTTCTTTTTTAAAGTTACCAGCTCTGTTTTTTTTTCTGTGCCATTTTGGTTCGGATCAATTTGTTCAGGGTCCCTCTTTCTCTTCACCTGTAGCACTCGGTACTTTTTGGATTGAAGTTTTTTTGGGGTATAGTCCGACCAATCTGAAAACAGAAAATTAATTGACAAAAAATAGAAAAGTTTGTTTGAATACCATTTTTTTCTTCTAAAGCACTAAGCAGCTGTGGTGTATCCTCAGCTTTGTCAATAGTCTTTAATTCTGAAGTACTCTTGGCTGCACCTGTGATACCTGCATCCGGTTGTTTTGGAAAATCTACAAGTTAATTAATATAGAGATTGTATAACGTCGCAAGGACCGTACAATTCACACAGGATGGTTACTCCAGCGGTTTTTTGCCGCCAATTCAGATAGTCCAGTGACGTCATTGGTCCGCTCGAAACCAAAGACTGGAACAAGTTTCATGCGTTATTTGTATAGCCAATGACGCCACGCACCCGGGTCATTGACAATTTTGGTCGGCTAGAATTGGAGAACGTTACGCTTATGGAAAGGTAACTATCCTATGTGTATTTTACGGTCCTTGATAACGTGGGTCCAACGCTACCTCACAATGGTAAGTAATACTAGTCTGTTCCAACTGCAATCACAAACCAGTCACAGCGAATTTCATTGGTTGAAAACAGTCAGAAAACTAGTTTCAACCAATGAAATTCGCTCTGACTGGTTTGTGATTGCTGGTTGGAATAGACCTAATAGTTCTTGATAATAACAATGAAATTAAATAGGATTTTTGAGTAGCATGATCATCTTAAATTAAAAAAACAAACCTGACCTTTTTGTTCTTTTTGCACTTCCTGTAGCAGCTCCGGTGTGCTGGTAGTTGGTGTCTCTTCATCAATATATTCAATGATTATATTATTGTTATGGAAATACGGGATATCTTGTGATAAACCTACCGGAATTAGAATAATGCAAGTACGAAAAAAAATTAAGATAAGAAAATAGTAGATATCATGCTTTATTTTCTAGGTACCATACCTTTTTGACTCTTCACCGTGAACACATCACTATCACCTTCACTAGGTTCTAAACCCAAAACGGAAATGCGAATTAGGCTGCTTATTTTATCATAGAGCAGTTTCAGCGATGCTTTGATATTAGTTTCATCGATACCTCCACCTGTTTTGTACATATTCTGCCTCTTTTCAGCTTCGTATTTACGTACATCCTTCTTTAAATTATCATACTTGCAGCGTAACTGCTCTGAAGTTCTTGGTTCAGTTGTTCGGGAATTATATTCCGTTGTAATTTTTTCCCATGCAGTAATCTAAAAATAATAATTATTCATAGTTGTTGGGTAAATAAGTAAATAAAAAAAATATTTTGAGTTGATTTATTTCCTAGAAGTGGCGGCGGCAAATTCAACTTACCGCTCTCAAATGCGGGCGGTAAGTTGAATTCACCGCCCGATTCTGCATAAACAAATATTGCATACATATATTTTATATTTCTAGGTATGTAGTTAGGTACTTACTTAACATAAAATAAAATTAAAAAGCAACTTACTTTTTGCTTCCAAGTGACGCTATCAGTTTTTTTGCACTCTACAATGCCCTTATAATTTATGATGATATCCACAAGAGCATGACAATCTGACTCTGAGAATGTGATCCTTTTCACCTTAGAACTCATCTTTTTTTTTATTTAAATTAAAGTATAAACCGAGCGAAAAACGAATTCAAACAATTCAAAACAAATCTATGCCCGCACTTTGAAATTTCTTTCCGGCCAAATGTCAGATAATTTGAATTTGATTGGTTGAAATTGAACTGTCAGTGCAGCCAACACATTTTATTGAGCACCAAGCCCCGGTTAGCCAACGTGTGGTTGCAAATGCGTTTATAATACGGAACAGCTGTCAACCATCGGTTGAGTTTCAACCGGCGGTTGAGTAACCTCCGGTTGAACACAACTTTTATAATACCGGCCCTAAAAGATTATCTTCTAAAAAATAATCTGAAAACGATACAGGGTTCTGTAAGGCGTGGAAACGAAATATACGACAATATTTGCAAATATTTTAAACTAAAAAATAATTTCAAAAACAGAACAAAGATCTTCGTTACAACAAATCGAATTACAACAAACGAAGATGAAAAAAAAATTGATACCTCAACCGAGACCTCAACAAAAGACATTTTTTCAGATCGTGAACCTGACTTGCACAGAGATAAAAAAAATTCTTCAAATTTTTTCATAGAAGATATTCCTCAAAACATATTATCCGAGTCACATGCGAAGTTTGAGATTTCTTCAACTGACCCTTCACCAAAATTAAACGTTCCCAGCTTTGACACGAATGAGTTTGAATTATCATTAAATATATCATCGTCATCAACATGTGGTAATACCTGTTCCATGACGGCTTATTCGGAAAGTTTAGGCATCGATGTCCGGCCAAGCTGTTCTGTTTCAAATAGCCCCCCTCCACATAAAAAGTCTCCTAATGCATCAACCAATGGCAAGGCTAAGATTCCTGATATTACACCAGAAAAACAGGACATTCCAAAAGACCTGCTAAATATCTCAAGTCCGGACATGAATGCTCCTATGATACCGATAAAATCCAAAAACACACGATTAAAAATGCAGCATAGGTTTAGCGATTGCACATGGCTAGAAGGATCTTTTTCCATACCACCAAATTTGTTAAAAACAATTTATCATGATAAAAAGCTAGACTCTAGATATTACCCGTTTTATTTGCGTTCCCAAATATTTAAATATGTAAATAATACATGCCTTATTGTTTTTAAATTTGTTAAATATAAAAAAAAATCTGAACAAATCGACATTTTTGGCCTATGTAAGCAGAATAATTCGAATTGTAAAAAGTTCAAAATTATCTTGGATTTATCTACACTTTTGGTGAAAGTATTTTCTTCGTCAGAACATTTTAGTCACCCTAATTACTGCACTGCGCAATCTCGAGGAATAGAAAGAAAAAAAATGAAACAGTCACTTTTAATTAAAAAACCACATGGCCTGAAAAAAGAATATCTGCTAGAACTCAACAAAAATTTAGCGACGAACGCAAAAAACCTTCAAAATGTAAAGTCAGATGTTACCATGAGGAAAATGCGGTCAGAAGTTTTATCGTCTATGGATAGGCACAAAAATGATATTTTAGACTTAATTTTAATGCAAAAGGAGCACCCCGAATATATTAAAGAAGTGTCTGTCCCTTTCAATATCAAAGTATATAGTATCGAACAACTACAAGTACTCAAAAAAGAATCTAAAAATCTAAGTTTACCTATAGTTCATTTCGATGCCACTGGCACAGTGGTAAGAAAACCTGATCCTTCCTTTAAAAGAATTTATTTTTATTCGGCAGTTATTCAAGCGCCAAAAGCAAATAGGATCTTTCCAATTTTTTCCATGGTATCATCTATACACGATTCTAACACAATCTTTAAACTATTTAATGACTTTAGATTTTTTTGTGAACATCATAACTTTTGGCCTGCTTTTTCCAAAATCGTAACAGATTTTTCTTTTGCCAATCTGCACGCCATGTGTAAATCACTAAACCGATGCTCTTTGTCAGAGTATTTAAATAAATGCTACGAACTTCTTACGGATTCTAATAAATCGTACTTGGATTTAATCCAAGTTCATTTATGTTGCGCACATTTTATGAAAATGGTGTCCAACGACGTGGATAAGATAAGTACTAATTTCGAACAAACATTTTATTTTAAAGATTTGATAGCTATTGCTATTCAAACATACAATTTGCAAGATTTTGATGAATACGTAAGAAATTTGGCCATAGTTATGAATTCAAAGTTTTTAAACGACTATGTCGCAAGTGCAATGGATCAACTCTCAACTACAAACTCATTAAAAAAAAGAAGTTCTCTACAGGATCTTATTTCGAATGATTTGGGAATTCCAGCAGAACTGGAAGATAATTTGGAAGAAGGTTTACATAAGAGTAGTCCTTTCTTTAAGAGATATTTTAGCATTTTAATAAATATTAGAGAAAATTGCTCAGATTCTGGTCCAACTAACATTTTTTATAACCCTCATATGTATAATCATATCTTAAACAAGTACGTGCCTTTAAGTCCGTTATGGACAGGTTTACTTCTTGACGAAGACACGCGACTCAGTAATGCACCAGCTGAAAATTATTTTTGTCAAGTAAAATTAAACATCTTAGACTCAAAGAAGAACTTGAAATGCTCTAGATTCCTTAGACTATTAAGAAAAGACGTTCTCGCTTTGAAAGTCGAGTCTGATTTAGGGATACCCAAAAATCGTTTAACAAAATTGTATGCCGAAAGCGAACAGGGCTCTCAAGAACGATGGGAAAAAAAAAGGAAAAAGGTGGATACGCATTTTGAGGGCAGATTTTTGAAAACATTCAATAAACCTAAAACCGACGACCCCTGTGACGACCTAACCGACCACCAAAATAATAATTATTATTCAAACAATACTTATGACGAAAATAATTTTGTAAATGAGTGTCGATCATTTCTCGAAAAAATATCTTTGAGCAAGTTTCAAAAACTCCGCCTAGAAGAAATGACCAGAAGTCAAGGAAATTCTCAACTTTGGAAAGAAGAGCGGCGTATTCGAGTTACATCTTCATTTTTTGGCAGAATATGTAAAGCAAAAAATGAAGACTCATACGAAACCATTGTGAAAAGTATTTTGTGCCCTAAGGAACTTAATGTCCCAGCTGTTAAATATGGTTTGTTAAATGAAGATGTAGCTCGAAAAACCTACAGCCACAAATTTAAAGTGAACGTCGCCAGCGCTGGTTTGTTCATACATTCCAAATACCCTTTTATTGCGGCGTCACCTGATGGGTTAGTTGGAGACTCAAAAATCATCGAAATTAAATGTCCCTATAAGATCAGAGATTTCGACCCCAATTCATGTGACTTAGATTTTCTTGATACAACTAACGAGAACATAAACAAAAAACATACTTACTATTATCAGATTCAAGGTGCGCTAGAAATTACAGACAGACCACAATGTGACTTGGTGATATTTTCAAAAAAAGGTCTAAAGTTGGTCGAAGTTGAGCGTTCAAATGATTTTTGGCAAGGTGTTAAAGACAAATTAATTGAATTTTATATGAATCACTTGCTCCCACGAATTATTTTTCCCAATGTAAACTTAAATAAACAGCAGAAAAAATGGGTTACAGTAAAGTCACTTTCATTTTTTAATAATGGGTTAGTAATAAATACCAATTATTACAAAAAACTAAAAAATGAAAGAGAGTATCCTGTAACTTATCTAGAAAATATTGAAGGTACAATAAAGCAAATCACTATTGACGATTATTTGTCATTAAATGATAAACAACAATTACATAGCTTCATTATAGACCATTGTTTTTTTTTATTTGATAAAACTAAGGAGTATCAAATATTTTCTGTGGAGCAGTCCTCCATTATTTTTGGGGACAGAAGTGATATTTTACCATCTTTTTACAACAACATTAAATTTACAAAGGACAAAGTAGCGATGCCTTTTGAAAAAGGCAATCACTATTTGCTTATTTTAATTCATTTTGAAAAACAAGAATTCATTCTTCTTGATCCTGTGGGACACGAAAATGTACTAGCAGGCAAATACTTCAAAAAAATTAAGGAAGTTATTTTTAGGCCTAAAAATATTAACTTGAGGTGGAACTTGAAAACGGAAAGTCACATAACACAAACAGATGGTTACAACTGTGGAGTATATATTATATACTTTTTTCATCAAGTTGTAAATAATTTAAATCTTATGGATCCGATTCCAAATTTGTTAGCCTATAGAAATAATTTAAAATATCTTCTATTAGAGAATTCAAGTTCACTAAAGAATCTTTGTTTCTATTGTAATAGTATTGTGGAAAATGCTTGCTTTAAATGCAATTGTTGCCACCGTGTTACCCATTTTAAATGTATTTTGAGCCAAAAAGACATTGACAATAACATTGCAATGAAAGATAGAACAATAAATAATATCTGTGATTTATGTAGACTTAACTAGAACCTACCTTTAATTGAAGTACTACAAAAGATGTGATTTATTTATTATAAAATGTTAATAATTAAGGCAAAAACTAGGTGAAGGGTTTATATTAATTATTTTGTTATTTTTGTTTTGTTTATTATTCTATTATTTCTGTTAAAAAAATTTAGTTTATTTTTTTTTAGTTTTTAAGTTGTTAAATTTAAAAATTATGTATGTAATTATATAATTTATGAGTTCATAATGTTGTTTTTGGTCATCATAAAAAAAAAAAACTTGTGATAGTAACTTTGTCCTGAACCATTACAATTACTTAATGTGATTTATTATTATATTTCTTATATTATTCTCTAAAATGTCAGTATTTATTTGCATTGCACTAAGCTTTAAAATCAATATACAATATAAATATATATATTTATATATAATTGAATGGAAAGCTATCTATATTAGCATAAGTAATATAAATTAGGTATTGTTTATTTAACTATAAATCTTAAACTATAGATTTTCTAAAGTGAAAATGTTTCTACACATTTATTTAGCATATAGGTACTAAATTTAACTTATTTTATACACTTTAGGGATTAAAAGTACCCTTTGAATCCCGGTTTTAGGGAAGTAAAGTGCGTCTTTTAATCCCCGCGGGATTAAATTTCACTTTATTTCCCGGGGATAAATAATGAAACAGGAATTAGAAGGGTACTTTTAATCCCTACGGGTCTGTTCCTCATAAGTGCGGCTTCAAAAACTTCAACAAAATCAAAAATAAAATGTTAAATTGTAGGGTTTTAACTCTATTATTTTTTTACATGTGGCAAATAACAGGTGCTAACTATCATAATAGCAAACACTTGCATTTCTCTAAATAAAACACCCTGTATATTTTTGGCTAGAATTTTTTTTTTCTTCTGATCCCAAATATACCATATATGTCGATATTTGGTTCAGCTGTTCTTACGCTATTTAACTTTAAAAATGCATTTATTCTTAAATTAAATATTTTTTCGATTCCTTATATCAATGGTACGGTTTAATTATTGCAATTTTAAACTTAAATAACGCAAAAAAAGCTGAACCAAATATCAACATATATGGTATATTTGAAATCAGAAAAAAAAAACAATAATTCTAGCCCAAAATATACAGGGTATTTCATAAAAAAAATGTTAGTATTTGTGATTAAGACAGTTAACACCTGTCATTTGTGCGTCTTGACATATGCAAAAGATAATAGAGGTTAAACCTTTCAACTTTCAAATTTAACCTTTTTTTAAATTTTTTTTGTTTGTTTAAGTTGTAAAAGCCGCACTGATTATAAGCCACCACTGTATACCACTTAGTCCCTAAGTATATAAAATACTATTTTTTTTTGCAATAATAATTATCTGTTATTAACGCCCACTAATTAATTCGTTTAAAACAATTTTTTTTTTCACAATTCGTAATTTGTTATATTATAATATAATCTCAAAATTGAAATAAAATAGTGTCTTGATGAGTTTTGGAGTTTCAATTTCATACTTAAAAAAGCCCACCTATCTTATAGATATCTACATAAATTTAAAAAAAATCTAAATTGTTTTACCTGATCGGCATATTATTTATTATTTTTGTTTATTATTTATAGACCCACTAGTTTCATAAATATGTTTTCACGCATATTTCATTGGTAGTATAAAAAATTTAAACACAATAAATAAAAGCACTTTTTCTCACTCACTTAATTTTTTTTTCATACAAAGGCTAGTTTTTAACACACTCCGACGGCAGGTAAGGGGGTTTCCTTTGGAGGGAATGTTTGAAATGGTTTTAGTTATCGTCCCAATCAAGTTTTAGAGCGTTACAGTTTTCCGAAATGTGTTTTTCCAATTTTTTTCTATCATTTTCGCACTAAGGGTAGTTTTTAACACACTCCGACGGCAGGTAAGGGGATTTCCTTTGGAGGGAATGTTTGAAATGGTTCTAGTTATCGTCTCAATCAAGTTTCAGAGCGTTACAGTTTTCCGAAATGTGTTTTTCCAATTTTTTTCTATCATTTTCGCAATAAGGGTAGTTTTTAACACACTCCGACGGCAGGTAAGGGGATTTCCTTTGGAGGGAATGTTTGAAATGGTTCTAGTTATCGTCTCAATCAAGTTTCAGAGCGTTACAGTTTTCCGAAATGTGTTTTTCCAATTTTTTTCTATCATTTTCGCACTAAGGGTAGTTTTTAACACACTCCGACGGCAGGTAAGGGGATTTCCTTTGGAGGGAATGTTTGAAATGGTTCTAGTTATCGTCCCAATCAAGTTTTAGAGCGTTACAGTTTTCCGAAATGTGCTTTTCCAAATTTTTCCATTACTTTCATACTAAGGGTGGTTTTTAACACACTCCGACGGCAGGTAAGGGGATTTCCTTTGGAGGGAATGTTTGAAATGGTTCTAGTTATCGTCTCAATCAAGTTTCAGAGCGTTACAGTTTTCCGAAATGTGTTTTTCCAATTTTTTTCTATCATTTTCGCACTAAGGGTAGTTTTTAACACACTCCGACGGCAGGTAAGGGGATTTCCCTTGGAGGGAATGTTTGAAATGGTTCTAGTTATCGTCTCAATCAAGTTTCAGAGCGTTACAGTTTTCCGAAATGTGTTTTTCCAATTTTTTTCTATCATTTTCGCACTAAGGGTAGTTTTTAACACACTCCGACGGCAGGTAAGGGGATTTCCTTTGGAGGGAATGTTTGAAATGGTTCTAGTTATCGTCTCAATGAAGTTTCAGAGCGTTACAGTTTTCCGAAATGTGTTTTTCCAATTTTTTTCTATCATTTTCGCACTAAGGGTAGTTTTTAACACACTCCGACGGCAGGTAAGGGGATTTCCTTTGGAGGGAATGTTTGAAATGGTTCTAGTTATCGTCTCAATCAAGTTTCAGAGCGTTACAGTTTTCCGAAATGTGTTTTTTTCCAATTTTTTTCTATCATTTTCACACTAAGGGTAGTTTTTAACACACTCCGACGGCAGGTAAGGGGATTTCCTTTGGAGGGAATGTTTGAAATGGTTCTAGTTATCGTCTCAATCAAGTTTCAGAGCGTTACAGTTTTCCGAAATGTGTTTTTCCAATTTTTTTCTATCATTTTCGCACTAAGGGTAGTTTTTAACACACTCCGACGGCAGGTAAGGGGATTTCCTTTGGAGGGAATGTTTGAAATGGTTCTAGTTATCGTCTCAATCAAATTTCAGAGCGTTACAGTTTTCCGAAATGTGTTTTTCCAATTTTTTTCTATCATTTTCGCACTAAGGGTGGTTTTTAACACACTCCGACGGCAGGTAAGGGGATTTCCTTTGGAGGGAATGTTTGAAATGGTTCTAGTTATCGTCTCAATCAAGTTTCAGAGCGTTACAGTTTTCCGAAATGTGTTTTTCCAATTTTTTTCCATTATTTTCATACTAAGGGTGGTTTTTAACACACTCCGACGGCAGGTAAGGGGATTTCCTTTGGAGGGAATGTCTGAAATGGTTCTAGTTATCGTCTCAATCAAGTTTCAGAGCGTTACAGTTTACCGAAATGTGTTTTTCCAATTTTTTTCCATTATTTTCATACTAAGGGTGGTTTTTAACACACTCCGACGGCAGGTAAGGGGATTTCCTTTGGAGGGAATGTTTGAAATGGTTCTAGTTATCGTCTCAATCAAGTTTCAGAGCGTTACAGTTTTCCGAAATGTGTTTTTCCAATTTTTTTCCATTATTTTCATACTAAGGGTGGTTTTTAACACACTCCGACGGCAGGTAAGGGGATTTCCTTTGGAGGGAATGTTTGAAATGGTTCTAGTTATCGTCTCAATCAAGTTTCAGAGCGTTACAGTTTTCCGAAATGTGTTTTTCCAATTTTTTTCTAACATTTTCGCACTAAGGGTAGTTTTTAACACACTCCGACGGCAGGTAAGGGGATTTCCTTTGGAGGGAATGTTTGAAATGGTTCCAGTTATCCTCTCAATCAAGTTTCAGAGCGTTACAGTTTTCCGAAATGTGTTTTTCCAATTTTTTTCTATCATTTTCGCACTAAGGGTAGTTTTTAACACACTCCGACGGCAGGTAAGGGGATTTCCTTTGGAGGGAATGTTTGAAATGGTTCTAGTTATCGCCCCAATCAAGTTTTAGAGCGTTACAGTTTTCCGAAATGTGCTTTTCAAATTTTTTTCCATTATTTTCATACTAAGGGTGGTTTTTAACACACTCCGACGGCAGGTAAGGGGATTTCCTTTGGAGGGAATGTTTGAAATGGTTCTAGTTATCGTCTCAATCAAGTTTCAGAGCGTTACAGTTTTCCGAAATGTGTTTTTCCAATTTTTTTCTATCATTTTCGCACTAAGGGTAGTTTTTAACACACTCCGACGGCAGGTAAGGGGATTTCCTTGGGAGGGAATGTTTGAAATGGTTCTAGTTATCGTCCCAATCAAGTTTTAGAGCGTTACAGTTTTCCGAAATGTGCTTTTCCAAATTTTTCCATTACTTTCATACTAAGGGTGGTTTTTAACACACTCCGACGGCAGGTAAGGGGATTTCCTTTGGAGGGAATGTTTGAAATGGTTCTAGTTATCGTCTCAATCAAGTTTCAGAGCGTTACAGTTTTCCGAAATGTGTTTTTCCAATTTTTTTCTATCATTTTCGCACTAAGGGTAGTTTTTAACACACTCCGACGGCAGGTAAGGGGATTTCCTTTGGAGGGAATGTTTGAAATGGTTCCAGTTATCGTCTCAATCAAGTTTCAGAGCGTTACAGTTTTCCGAAATGTGTTTTTCCAATTTTTTTCTATCATTTTCGCACTAAGGGTAGTTTTTAACACACTCCGACGGCAGGTAAGGGGATTTCCTTGGGAGGGAATGTTTGAAATGGTTCTAGTTATCGTCCCAATCAAGTTTTAGAGCGTTACAGTTTTCCGAAATGTGCTTTTCCAAATTTTTCCATTACTTTCATACTAAGGGTGGTTTTTAACACACTCCGACGGCAGGTAAGGGGATTTCCTTTGGAGGGAATGTTTGAA